AGCCAGTGCAAAGTATGTCCGGAGTACACGGTATTGTATTATTACTGTGGAATGTAACGATATCGGTGTCGGGTATGGTATTCAGCATACCGGAATCCCGAAAATGTTATAATACTCAGATATGATCTGAGGCTCGTAACAAACATTCACGAAGCCAGCGGACTGATCCAAAGAAGCTAAAAAAGTGACCGATCATTGACAGATCGCATACCATGAGATTCATCTGGCCTTGGCGGGACGGATCAGCGCGGACGCCACCGCCCCAGGCAGAATCGAACCGGCCACCTGTCCTGATGGGAATTCCGTTGTTGGCTGTTGGTGGAAGTTGGGGNGGGGGGGGGAATTATTGGATAGAAGTGAGAGATAAATCTACACAGGTGGATGAGCAGATAAACCAGAATGATAGAATATAGCACCACCACACCAATATCACCTTGTCATATACCCTGAGTGTGAGGTCAGAGAGAAGGGCCGAAAAACGAGAATTTTTGTTCAGTTGCCTCCCGTTAAAGCGGCAAGAGGAAAGCGCGTCCAGGGAGTGACCGAGGATAGTCGATGACGATGATTGGACTAGGCGTGGGACGGATGGGACTATCAGCTGCAGGAGGACCGCGGACTGGAAGAACACCGCCTGCAACCATGGGGCGCGGAGGATAAAGCAAGGGTGTTTCAGCCATTCAGTGGTCCGGGTGGCCAACAAGCGGAGTGCGTTGGGCGAATGAAAGGCATCATGGCCGATGGGGCACTCTAATTGGACCACGGCCGACAGTCCCAGAGCCGCTAGCGGGCGATGAACCCAAGGTTGAAGGGAGACCACTCTGGCCGCTTTTAGTTGGTGGCCCAGCCTCCCCTGTGAGTCAGCACTATATAAAGGCCCAACCTCCCCCCCGTTACTCCCATTCCTGTCTCGGTCTTGGCATCCGGAGCTGTTCTGGAAACTCCATCTTCCTCCCCCCCAAAGCAGCATTTTAATATCTGCTCCTCTTACTAATCAGTTTCACCTCACTCTGATTACTCTCTACCCTTTCTTTTTTTTAGGGGAAAAAAAAGGTTTTCGTCCACGCGACTTGAACAATAGGAGCTGAACCTCAGGGATCACTTCACTCTCTTTCTCTCTTTTCCAGATCGCGCAGATAGACACAAATCCCATACCAAAAGCAGCGCAACCAAAAGAAAACAGAAAAAAAAAGTTGCTGTTCATTCCGTCCTTTCTGTTCTTTGTTATAATCTCGCCTGCGATCGCATCTTGAGAAAACACTTCAGTGTGCGTTTCTCCTGATTTCGAATCATCAGTCTGCATCTGTCTGCAACGGTTTCGCAGCCCTTACTCGTGTTTGCCTTCCCAAGGTACCGAATTGAGTGCGAAAACCTCAGGGGGATACATTGAGTTGTCCATCTCCCAGGTAAGATTTGCCTCACATGACTTGATTTCACCAACCTCCTCTCTTGCATCTCGCATCCCTCCCCAGTGGTGACTTTCGCTCACTTCTGGCGTTTTCATCACAGTTGTTACGTCATCCTTTCAACTTTCTCTCTCACGCACCCCACACGTGATTTTCGAGCCTCCCATCATGGATTCGCTCACCACCCACCCGTCGAATGCCCAGCAGGCTCGTGCCTTCACCTCTACGGCCTCGCTTTCCTTCCCTGGTGGCGCTGGCGATTTGACTCCACCTGGCTCAGATAAGGAGGCGATGGCTCAGATGAACGGTCAGGCAGGAGGAAATGCCGTCGCCGGCACCGGGGTGACTCCCGCTTCTCCCGCGACCCCGGCCGCCACTCCTGGCGCGACTACCGGAAGCAGTGGCATTGTGCCAACCCTGCAGTGAGTATATTCTTGCTTCTTTCTGGGAGACCAGAATGGCTGAACTAGGCTCTACCAAAAGGAACATCGTTGCCACCGTCAACCTTGACTGCCGCTTGGATCTCAAGACCATCGCGTTGCACGCTCGCAACGCCGAGTACAATCCTAAGGTATATTTCTCTCTTCCACACCTTCCCGGTGATTCCATCAGGGTACAGTGTGGCTGAACTGGGTTTCTTTCTACTAGCGTTTCGCTGCCGTGATTATGCGTATCCGTGAGCCCAAGACCACAGCTCTGATCTTCGCCTCGGGCAAGATGGTCGTCACCGGTGCCAAGTCGGAGGACGACTCGAAGCTTGCCTCTCGCAAGTACGCCCGTATTATCCAGAAGCTCGGTTTCAACGCCAAGTTCACGGACTTCAAGATCCAGAATATCGTCGGGTCCTGCGACATCAAGTTCCCCATCCGTTTGGAGGGTCTTGCATCTCGTCACCACAACTTCTCGTCCTACGAACCCGAGTTGTTCCCTGGTCTTATCTACCGCATGATGAAGCCTAAGATTGTTCTTCTAATCTTCGTCAGTGGCAAGATTGTCCTTACTGGTGCCAAGGTCCGTGAGGAGATCTACCAGGCTTTCGAGTTGATCTACCCTGTGCTTTCTGGTATGTTGTCTTGTGGTCTCACAGCCACTTCATCGCTAACCCTCCCCAGATTTCCGCAAGGTCTGAAAAAGCTTTCGGAGATCGCATGCTCTTCGCTTTCAACTTTCAACCCTGTATTAACACTGCTTTTTTCACGTTGAGGATCGCAGCGATTACCCAACTCCTGCGCCTCGGTTTCCTTTTGCTTTTACGAATCTTTCATGCAAGCATAGTTGGGCGTTCTAGCGATTCGGATGATCCCCGGTTTGTTCCACCATTTCGTGCTTTTACACAATTAGATTGCTGCACGTCGCAGTGAGGCGGTTCGTGCGCCGGTCGATGACTGCTGCCTCTAATTTTTTTTTATCATCCCCTGGTTTCATCTGTGGTGGATCACCTCCCCATGGGCCAAAAAAAATGGTGAGCCCTTAGATTCCATCTCTGCTTTGCCTGCCCAAGGCTGGATATTGATGGTACGGCACTGCCGTCTACCTTTTGAGTAGCAAAAATAAAAAGTCTCTCAAAATTCTTCTCCAAGTAAATGTAACAAAGTCGTTGTGTGGGCTCGTCTTCCCAAGTATATACCCAACTGTGCATGCACCCCATACATCTTTTTGTACGTCCAACATGTTATATACATCCATGACAACCCATCTATAGCGCACTGCTTCTCGAAGCCTTCTGCGTCTTCGCCAATTCATCTTTTAGATTCGCCCTTCTTGCTCCAGACCGACTGCCATCGCCATCAAAGTCCTCATTATCGGCCGTCGCTGCAGCAGACCATGTCCACATCTCCCTCAGCTCAGAGTCAAGAGTTCCCTCAAGCGCATCAACAACCTTGTCACCAATAACAGGGAGGAACTTGAACGCATGGCCACTGCCACCAGTAGCAAGGAAAAGACCCTCATGGTCAGGGTGGTAGGAGATAATAAAGTCACCCTTAGGCCTAACCGCGAACAACAAATCAGCACCATATCCCCCAAGAAGCACTCAATCACACCAGAAAGGAGATCAAGAAAGAAACTCACGTATCAGTATACCAACAAACCCGCGTATCAACAAACTCCCTCTCCGCAAATCGCGGCAGAAGCTGCCTCAAAGCAACCCGGAAAGCATCCTGTCCCTCAAGCGGAACAGGAACCCCCTTCTCAGGCAAACTAACCTCCATCCTCTCGCCAGGCCCACTCGCCCCAGGGACAGGCACCGAAACCGGATTCCGGTATCCAAACGCATGGCGCGCAATCTTAAGCAAGTTCCCCCGAGGCGGGATGATAAAGATCCCAGTAGCGAAGTTCAAAATCGTAGGCAAATTCTCCAACTCGCGCTGCTCCTCGTCCGAGATTCGCATATACGCAATCGCCTGTCCAGTCGCGACAGCCCGTCCGCGCAGATCAACCAATTTAGATGTCCACGCTCCAGTAGCGAGAATAATCAAGTCAGCCGAGAGTGTCGTACCATCTGTGAAGACGACACCAGTAGCCTTGGACTTCTTCCCACCGACGTCCTCATAGAGAACCCTTTCGACCTCCCCAGTCCGGAATCCAACCTTCCCCTCCGCATCAATCAACGCCTTCGCATATGCAACACTAGCCGCCGCATCAGACCACCCAGACCCCCAGTTCACATACCCACCCGCCACATCAAGCTCCTCGCCATACGCTGGCACAACCCTCAACACGTCCTTCTGCGACGGCAAGAACTCAACATTATCGCCCTCGATCTGGCGCACGTTGGCGTAGCTCTTGCGCGCGTATTCTTTGGCGCTGGCGCTATCCGCTGGGTAGACGAGGAGGAGGCCGTTTTGCGTGTACCGGCCTTCGGCGCCCCAGGCTGTGCTGCGCCACTGTTTTATGGCGCTGTCCGCCAGCTTGGAGTAGGCTGCGTTTGCGTAGTCTGCGCGCACGATTCGGGATGTGTCCACTGAGGAGCCGTGCGGGTTGGGTATTGTTGGCGAGGATTCGATTATTGTTATTTTGCTGCTTGGGTGGCGTTTCGTTAGGGAGAGGGCCGTTGAGACTAAGGGTTGTTAGTTTTGAGTCAATAACAATTGGGGTGTTTGGGGGTGTGGTGTCTTGAGTGCGGGTGCGGGTGCGGGTGCGGTGTATGGGGTTGAAGTTGGGGATGTGATGTGTGTGTGGTATGCAGGCCGAGGGTGTGTGCTGCATGTTGTTTATACTCACGTCCGAAGACTCCGCCTCCTACAATCAGGATATTGGACGGCAATGCCATTGTGTGTGTGTAGGAAGGTTGTGGGAAAGTTGGAGATGTCGGGGGATTTCCTATTGATAGCCGATAACGGCCAGACGTGACTCGGTCCCGACTCCCGACTTTTCGTCTTCCGAGTCAACATTGTCCCCCAATAGGCATCGATTAGCCGCCCTTGGTCTACGCATTATCAGCTCGCATAGCTAATCCCCTATTTAGAGCATTACTTTTTTCCCTTGCTGGGTGATGAATCTCCCGTGAAAGGGAAGCAAAAACCATCCAGCTCGGCACGCTAGACCGCATACATCTCACTTATCAGGAGAAAACCCTAGTCGCATGGGCCCATTGCAATGAATGCACACCCATTGCGTCGAGTGCCCTTGGTCAGGTGGCCCATTACGCCCTGCCGACGGGCATCGAGCAAGGTACCTCGAGATCAAATGTATGCACGCGCATGAAAATGCCATCAGAATTCATACTAACACATCCCCTAGTCCAATCTCAAAGAAAAAACAGCCTCTTGGCAACACACAAAATGGCCCCTCAGAGCTCAAAAGGACCGTAAAGCCTAAAAGGCGTGAAGTCCCTCCAAAGACACAGTCTTCACAAACTGAAGACCCCAGCTCCGAAACCAAGGAGAAAAAGAGCAAACATGGAATCCCTCCAACTGCCCTCGCCTTTATGGGCATTACAGCCCTAGCAATAAGTACCTACAGCAGCTACCTATACGTCTCATACAAACGCGAAGTGAAGAAAAGCCAAGCCCTGGTTGTATCCAACGACGTTTCAGACAGATACAACAAAACAGCCTCAACGTTCGACGCGGACGTCGAAATCTCCGAAAAGTTCATGCAACTGGGTAGCAAGCGCAATGACCTAATCCGACACGCTCGCGGCAACGTCCTAGAAGTGAGCTGCGGCACAGGCCGCAATTTACCATACTACCTCCTCGGCGAGCGACGAGGCGTCAACGAATTCCACCACCACCTCGAGGTCAACGGCTGCCGGTCGATCACATTCACAGATCTAAGCCCGCAGATGGTCGCAATCACAAAGCAGAAGTTCGAATCTATGTACCCGGATTTCACTCGCGTGTCTTACCAATGCGTCGACGCGGGCACTGTCACGCCCCCGCCTGCTGGACCGGGGGATCCGCCGCGCTACTTTGATACCATTGTGCAGACTATGGGTCTATGCTCGATGCCAGATCCTGTTGCGACGCTGCGCCATTTGGGGTCGATTACTGAGCCGAAGAATGGTCATATCTTGCTTCTTGAGCATGGTCGTTCGCGGTGGGATTGGGTTAATGGTATTCTTGATAACCTTGCTCCTGCCCATGCGGACCGTCATGGGTGTTGGTGGAATCGGGATATTGGTGCTATTGTAAGGGAAAGTGGGTTGGTTATTGTTGAAGAGAAGCGTTGGCATTTTGGGACTACCTATCGCTATGTATTGAGACCACCGGGAAGTTCTGAGTGATACACCCTTTAGACATTCGGCTCTAGCTAAAGGGGATCCTATTGTATTTATATTTGTATAAATAATATACAGCTTGTGACGTATGCTTCGTTGTTATTTCCATCGTGAGATTTTATAAGATTCTACAAATGCACGCAGAGAATTATAAGGACATATATTGAGATTGAATTTCGGGGTCACATTGCTGTATAAGCTTTCTTTCCATAGAAAACCTTTACCTCTCTTTTCTCCCCTCTTTTTTACACATTTTCGAGTACCTCGGGTTATGCTTTTTTAATGATCATGTAGATTATATAAAAGCGGAGGTGTGAAAGGACTTATGGCCTATGACTGTATTTTCCAAATCACCTTTCCAGTTTATGAGCTATCCCAACTAATACCGGTATCTGAAGCCCGGCGTTTTCCAATCCGTAATATCCTCATAATCATCCGACACGAGTTGTACCCGTGTCACCATATCCGCGACATTCTTCGAATCCTGATCCCCATCCAACACCTTCCCACCAACAGCACCCGCATTCCCAGCACTTCCTTCAAACCCTTCCAGGCGTGTGCGACGAGCATTCATCCACTGCAAATAAAACCGCAGACACAACGCAAGCAGAACAGCAAGAGCATAACAAATCATAATAGCGCGGAAAGCAGTATTATACGTCGGCGCCTCTTCACTAAGGAAGAACTGAGGACCCGAGATATTACCAGCACAGTATGCCAGGAAGAGCATCGCAGTGACAGTCATTTTCTTCGTGACACCACGGTAATTGGCTTGCACGAGCGACATAGCGAGCGGCATAGCTGCAGGACCCGTCGACAAGAGGAAATATCCAAATAACTGAACGCCCAGAACGATATGAGCGCGCGAATAGATAATCGCACTGCCGATAACACAGGGCACTACAACGACAACAATAAGTATGCAGTTGAGTTGGCGGAAACGGCCTGCTAGCCAACCTGTTCCCGTGATTGTGGCTATGGTAATAATCGAGTAAGGGATATTGATCAGCGTAGACTGCAAACTCGTAAAGCCGAACGAGACAATAACGAGATTGGAGAAGTTCTGAGTTCCCCCGTTGGGAATTTGAGTTACCAATGCCAAGCCGAAGACCAGCCAGGTCTTCGGGTCCATGAGACATTCCACGAATTGATCCCATTGCCAGGCTGTTTTCTCTGTTGCGCCTGTGCCTGCGATGACGGCTCGGTTGCTTGCGCATTGGCGTTCCTCTTCAGACAAGAATTTGGCTTTGGAGATCGAGTCTGGGAGTAATGCCCACAAGGCGAAGCCCCAGAGGAAGGTTAACACGCCTAGGACGATGAACATCCATCGCCATGGTCCGACGTTGTCTTTGGCGTGGCCTAAGCCATAGGCGAGGAGACTGGAGAGGATACCGCCGACGCTCTGAATATAAAAGTTAGTGGTGGATGTAAGGTTAGGTAGGGCTGAGGAGGGAAGACGTACGTTGCCAGCGAACCACAGTCCAGTTCGGGTGGGAATCTCATCACGTGTATACCATGTCGAGGTGATGAACATGAATGCTGGTGTGATTGTTGCTTCAGCGACTCCCAGTAGGAAGCGCACGGTAATCAAGCCCCCAAAGTTGGTGCATGCTGCTGTGAGAGCTACCACGGTACCCCAGAACAGAGTGTTGGCCGTTAAGTATTTTGCAGCTGGTAGACGGGCTATCAAGAGTGTTGTTGGATATACCCATCCCAGGTAGCCAAAGTAGAACACCGATGATACCCAGCTGTACTGCTGGCCCACTAGTCCCTAGAATGAATGTCAGTTTGGTTCTGTGTGGTTGGGCTATTGATCTTACCGTATCATGGCGCAACCCAAACACAGCTGCGCTGGACAGAATGACCTTGTCCATGAAATTGAACATGTAAGTTGTGAACAAGAGTGGGATTAGCCTCCTGTCGATCTTCCGTAGTACTCTTTTCGCCACGGCGTTTGTCGCTTGCTCTGCTCCATCGGGAGCTGTGCTTAGCTCTGCCATATTGTCAAGTTGTTATGCTCGTGGTATGTGAAAGGAAATGCAATTGTCTTCGCTAGATAATGTCTCCTTTGTACAACACGCTTGTGTTGCATTCTTATCTTTTCCCCGCACTGCCATTGTTTCCATTGGCCATCCCTGTATGTTTATCGTCAATATACAGTCTTTGCGCAGGAGGTCATTGGACGGAATTCGAACTAAAGATGTCAGCCAAGTCCACTAATAGAGCTAAACAGCACCATCCCAATCCGGCAAAAAATTGCGGTCACTTGCCTTTAGATAAACCTTGAATGTGTCTAGAGGAGCTCCTCCATTAGTCACATCAGATCTCCGACCTCGGCTCAATGCAATACGACTTCTCTATATCTAAACAACAACACACTCCAACTCCAAACGCAACCTAACCCAGCACTCGCACCACAATGAACGACCTACAAATAACCCCCTTCATAAAAGCCCTCCCAAAAGTCGAACTTCACATCCACATAGAAGGAACCCTAACGCCAACCCTCCGCTGGACCCTAGCAGCCCGCAACAAAATTCCCCTCCCCTACAAAACCCTCTCGGACCTCAAAGCCTCTTACGCCATAACCCTCAACCACCGCCCCGAACTAAACGGCCGCCAACCAGGCATCCCAACCTTCCTAGAAGCCTATTTTGCAGGATGCGAAGTCCTCCGCACAGAGGCTGATTTCTACGATCTAGCCATGGCCTATCTACACCGCTGCGCAGAAATGAACGTCCGCTATACAGAGCCGTTCTTCGATATCCAGGCGCATACGCGGCGCGGCGTTCCCGCGTCTGCTGTTCTGGATGGGTATCTACGCGCTCAGCATGATGCCGTAGTGAAGTATGGGGTGCGATCACAGTGGATTTTGTGTTTCCTGCGCGACGAACCCGTAGAGAAGGGGCTTGCTGCTTATTGGGAGGCGAGGCCGTGGGCTGGGGGTTCTGTGCATGGTGGGAAGGGATTATTTCATGCTGTTGGGTTGGCGAGTAACGCGTATGAGAGGCCGCCTTTGCTTTTTGAGGAAGGGTTTGGGCTTGCGCGTGCGGATGGGTTGCATGTTACTATGCATTGTGATTTCGGGCAAAAGGATACGCATGAACATGTGAGGCAGGCTATTTTTGAGGTCTGTGGTGGAAGGGGCGCGGAGCGAATAGATCATGGGTTGGATGCTTGGGATGAGGAGGGTTTGTGGAGGGGGTTGGTTGAGAGGGGGATTGGCTTGACTTTGTGTCCGCATGCTTATCATCGTAGGACGGCGACGGAGGTTTTGTTTCCTAAGATTCGGGGGTTGGTGGAGGCTGGGGTTAAGATTTGTATTAATAGTGACGACCCGACGTTGATGCATGATGTTTGGATTGATGGTAATTTGCAGAAGGTTTATAGTTATTGTGGATTTGGGAAGAGGGAGATGGTGCAGCTTGTTAGGAATGCTGTTGATATGTGTTGGGCTGGGGGTGATGTTAAGAAGGCGATTCATTTGGAGTTGGATGGTGTTGATGTTTCTGAGTGACCTTTGCTTGAGACCTGATCTAGCGCTTGTAATTCTTGTGATATCTACCATGCCATGTTCTTAGCGTTGTATTTGGAATTGCAGATCGACGCCACATTCATTCGATTCTTGTGTGTGACGTGCTAGTGAGAATTCCATGGCTCATTAAACTCTCTTTATTATTGTTGTGGTGGAGGGCTTTGATTGTCGATCTTGTTTTCAAGCTGAAGTTGATTATCATGGGGAAAATATATTACGAGTATACATCAGAACATTGCCGGCACGGCCTGGATCAGTCCACGTAATCAATATATATCATGGCGATATCATATGTATCTGAAGCAAGTTATGATATACATCAACATTAAGACCTGCAAGCACATCATAGTGAACTAAGCTTAAGGATCGCTGCCATCAAACCTTGGCAGCTAGACTCTGCTTTCCCCTCATTTGAACGAGATCCCGATATTTGTTCTAGAATCCTTGACGAGGGGAGACGAGCCAGGGAACAGACTCTACCCTATCGGACCATGTTTACCTACATAGGAAGGTTTAAGTTAGAGTCGCCTTGCGCTATTGTTGATGCTCAAATCGGCTCAAACTGAGAGGCGGGGGGGCATCTAGTGTAACGCCCCGTCCAATCCACGTCAATGATCTACATGCAAGCCGCACGACCTTACAGGGGTTATTCCTTGTCTTAGATGCGGTTAGTCATCTATCTTTTGTATGATTCAAGGTTACGGATAAGTTCCAAGCGAGGCCATGCAAGGTTTAGATATTGATTTGTTATGATCGAGGCTCATGCGCGGTCGCACTCTTATTGGTAGATCTAGACTCGGGGGTGTTGGTTTGCCCGTTGTTTAGATAACTTAACTATATGGGGGCGAGAAACTGGATTTCTGGATGTAGCGATGATTCGCTGGCCTCCCCAGAGAATAAAGCATGGGGATTGTTACATACTGTCGCGAAAAATGTACCCAGTTATGTTTAAAGAGTGGACATCTTGTGTTGCATTTGTGGAGATGCGGAGAATTCCCGCGCGTCTGCATACTGTAGGTACCGTACAAGGTCTCATCTGTGCATAACTAGATCGCAATAGGAAATGAACAGCTGCAGCCACCAGATAATCTTAATCCTTTCGGCCGTACATGTAACAATGGGCTGGCGATTCCCATGGTTGAGGTTCCCGCTGCTTCGGGTCAAAGTGGTAGATGTTAATGAAACCGGAGATCAACAAACGTGACGTGACGGGGCGAGGATTCCGGGCAGGGATGTCAAAGAATGACCCCTCTATAGGCTTGCATCGTAATGCTCGTACCCGATCCCTGGATGCCAAGCTCAGAGAGGTATGATGTAGGATTAGTACTAAAGTATGGCAAAAGCCATGGACAAGGTTGCGGGAGATATGTCATAACCACGTCGAAGTATGGGAACCGAGGTGCTATACTACATATGGAAGCACGGGGAGTTATCATGATTTATGGCATCACCACTCTCCAGGCAGATATATCCAAACCTATAAGTGTACGTAACGAATAGAGAGGGGCAAAGGTTGTCTCAGCCTTTGACATCGGTGGCGATACTTCTGTTCCTTTTCTCCCCGAGACGCTAATGTGGGTATCCCTTACTAGCGCCATACACCAGATTACGCTGGCTCTGATTGATCGCTGGGCCGTGCTCCACTCCTTTTTTTTTTTTCCTCCTTCTTGTAAACGGCTGCGCTAGGGGCTGTTTGGGTCTCGGTGTTTCCGGCATCCTGACTTTGCTTTACTACATGCACAACGGAGTGTAATGTTCGATATTTTATAAAATGACTTGTACAGTAGTTGGATAATGACTTGTACAAATGCATTAGATCTATCAAGCGGTCAGGGTATGCAACCGGTCACCTAGCAACCACTTGACAGATCGAATGCACAATCTACTGTACACATATGCATCCCAGCACCTAGCCCCCGTCTAATGTGCCGACTCCCACACAATCCACCAATCAGAGGATCGGCAGGTCTTATTATTATTCAGATCGTGAGCTATGATTAGCCGAGTTCGATGCATGGGAAATCTGATGGAGTCAACGCTGGAGCCGGAGCACAAAATATGGACCAGACCAGGTTATAGAGCACATGGCCTGATCCACCTACCTGTTGCCCGGTATGCGCTAAGACCGAGGATAGAATGGAAGAACTATGGATTTTCATGCTAAGGCCAGCTACGGACTAGTGGAATGACCGGTCCACTCTTCTATTTTCTTTTAAATAGGGCATATTACAAACTTGGAATGTAGCGGTGAGAAGTATAGGGTACAAGTATAGTAGAGTATAACTGACATATGGAAGATGGGAGTAAACTGTATAGATATAAAGTATAGAGTAGTATAGAGTAGACGTGTCGAGCGTTCCCTCCAAAATAAGAGCGCCTGAAGCCCCACACATCCACTTATGTAAATTACCGTGACAATACCTGACCATTTATTTTTCTTTCAACTTTTTTTTCCCAATTTTCCATTCCTCAGGTTGACCTTTTGCCTTCACAGCTTCCTGTCGCATGGTGATCTCCCTCCTCTGTATTCCACCCCCCCCTTTCTCCCTATATTATTACTTCTATTTTGTTTATTATATCCCTGTTTTTTATTATAACCCATATTCTCTACACTTTTGTGTCTTACTCTCCTTCCTTTTGATACCTTTGTTCTCTCCTTTTGCCATCACTCCCTCACAATGCCATACAACACACGTCGAAAGTCACTGTCCCTTCCATCCCTAGGCATCCAGTTGCCAAATTCTTCCCGTCGCTCTCCCTCTATCTCCAAATCGCACGATGAGCCCTTGTCAAAAAAGGCTAAGAGATCGCACGGTTCAACTTCAATATCGCCCGAGCCATCCGACAAGTTCCTGATCGCGCGCGCTGGGAGACATGGAGCATTTGAACATACGCCGCCCCCCTCGCCTTTGGATGGAATCGTGGCACCCAAGATCGACACAGAAGGGATCAGTGATGATATCGTGGTCGCCGTAATTGATCAGTTGGAGAAAACGGGGAATCGTCCTCATCTTGTGAAGGAGCTCGCCGCCGTCCTCGTTGCACTAAATGCGAATGTCGCCAAGTATGTATTCTATCCACCTGTGGAATTTTTGACACTTTCTAACATGTCTTGTCTTTAGTTCTGCCAATCCTGCCGCCCTTCTCTCGTCGCGGTTGGCTGCCTATATGAAGCGTCCTTGGACCGCTCTTGCGCCCTGCCCTATCGCCAAGGAACTTATCTTAATTCACCCTCGCAAAGTGTACTACTATCTTACTACGTTTCCTCACCAGCCTATTCCCGAGACTGATGATCTGGTATCTGCCGTAGATGGCAAGCAAATCACGCCCAGTGTATCAAGTCTCGAGGATGAGGAAGACGCCATGGTGCGGCAACGTAGCCCTAGTCCAGAAGTGGACTTATCATCTCCCGATTTTGGAGAGGATGTGGATCTGAACAGCCCCGCTAGTCATGCCGGTTCTTCCGATCACTTCCCGGATGCTAGCAACCTCAGTCGTCTCATGCACTCAAACCGCGCGGCTTCACCGCCCCTGGAGGGCGATGAGAAGGAATTTACTCAGACCGCCAGTGCCGTGCGTGAGCGCGCCTCTGAAGAGAAAGCCAGCGAGTCGAGTCGTAGCCAGTCCATCCTCTCTGAGAGCCTGAGTGCCATGGGAGACCGCGAGAGGAGCACTGAATCACCGGTGAACGGTGGCTCTATATCTCCCTCCCTCCACGGTGACGGGATGTCTGAAGAAGAGTATAGTGACTACTTCTCCCACATGCCCGCCGACCAAATGGCCCAGGATTTAGATGAAGCTGCTGCAACCGCGCTGTTTGGCACCTCGCCCTCACCCTCTCTCACATCGGTTGCATCGTCGGTTTCGTCTGGTACGAGCATGATCGATGCCCGTGTTGATGGGGATGACCTAGCTGCTCTTCAGATTGCTCTACCGGAGGATCCGGATGCCGCGCCTGTTTCTACTCTTAAGCGCTCGCTTGACATGTTGAACAGTGGTCTTCCAGACGTCGATCTTAAGATGTCTGATTTGACAGAGTCGCATGAGAGGCTTACTCTGACTCCTCGGCCCATTTCCTCCAAGTCATCCGAGCCTGTCTTCGATTCTTGGAGAGAATTGCAAAATCCGGAGATGGTGGAAGTTGATGAGCTAGATGAGATGTTTGGCGAAATCTAAACCCTCGTGCCTCTAATGTGCTTCCTCCTATCCTCTTTCATCTCCACTCTTGGCTGGACTGAGATCTGCCATATTACCCCTACCTTTATTCGCTCTGCTTGTACATGTCTCCTTGGCGCGTGTGCCCCCTACCTTTTCCGCTAATTCCTATTTCTACTGTACATATACATACGCTCTGTTTTTGTTTTTTGTTTCGCCCTGGATGGGTAGAATGGGAGTCTTGGGAAACTTAAGAGGGACTGGCTTCACCAAAAGTGTCAAAATCGCAACATCTTACATACTTCAGTGACTATACGTACCGTATTTACTCTGCCGGATGGGGGTCTCCTATTCCAGATGCCGCCGCTTTAATGAGGACCTCAGAGACAGGCTCACTGAGTGAATTTCAGTCAAGACTCAAGAGAGTCAATCACGTGATAGATCAGGAGGGTCCGCTGAGTGCTCAGTGATTGCTTACTGATTACTCAAGAGACTGATCAGGGGCATCTATTGAGCACTGAGTCTACCTTCCTTCAAGCTGCTTGCTATGGTCCCAAGTATCTCAGTGGGTAAATCGAGAATAGAAACCTATAGGATATTATTAACAATTCGAGGCTATTAAGGATGAGCAGTTACGCGTAGCATTCTTTTAGTACTCGATTCTAGTCTGTCGAAAGATATGAAGGAAAGGCTTTTAAGGAAATTATGCTGGTCGAAGGCGAGTAACACTGCGCATAATATAGAGGTGGCACGAAGTGATGCACCGGTGGTGATGAGCGGTGTATGTAGTATTGCAACTTACGACGACCTTGGGAGGGAATAGTGCA